TGGACAGTGTTCTCGAAGCTACAAACATGAGTCTGACCAAACAGTGGGAGGCAGTGGAAGACAGAAGTGCCTGGCGTGCTCTGATCCATGGGGTCATGAAGAGTCGGACACAACTAAACGACTAAACAACAACAACAATGACTGATGGGCAACGTCAAGGTCACATATTATCCCTATCATCATAATTCAATGAAAACTGGACCATTCAAATAGAGGATGTTTTCAAAAAGAGGACTGCCCTCTGGCAGCCCTTCACACAGAGCACAGCTTCCCAAACTTGAGTCTCCAGCTGTTGTTGGACTACAATGCCCATCATCCCTAGCTACTAGGACCAGTGGTCAGGGATGATGGGAGTGGTTGTCCAAAAGCAGCTAGAGATCCAAGTTTGGGAAACCCTGACATAGATGAGTGCCATGTAAAAGTGGGACACACGGTCATCCTCCCACCAAGAGCCTGAGTGGTGAAGCTTTGGGGTTGGATGATAGTCACCATCTCTTGTGATTCCCAAGACTGTGTCTTGCCCCTTTGCCTTCAGTTCTGTCACCACCACCCTCATATTCAGCCCCTCCCTCTGGTAGTCCTCCCTGCTCCCCAACGAGGCCATGCACTCCACTGGAAGTGGGGGCTGGAGAGAGCCAGCAGATCTGCTTCCCCCTCTCTGACATCTGTATGTCAGATCCTGATGGAACCAAGGGGTCCATGACTCCAAGCAATCTCAAGGGATACCACCCACCATAGCCTGCAGGATTGCTATGAGATTTCAGGAGAGCTGGCATGATGACAACTCATGCCAGCAGGGCACAGAATAGTGCATTAAAAGAGGCACCCCCAAAATCATGATCAAGAGGCAAGATGGGGGAAATTATTGATTGGAGGAGGAACCAAAAAACAAAAAATCAGTTAAATACATCAGATAGCAGATCCTGGGGAAAGAATGGGGACCCTTTTTTCAGTTTGAGGGCCATATTCCCTCATTGGCAATCTCTGAGGGGCTGCCTGCCTGAGATGGGTGGGGCCAGAGGCAAAACTGGATGGAACAACAACTAATGTGACTGTTAACTTTGTATGGTAGTCTGCAGTTGCCCATACTAAAAGCCAGTCTCTGTGCACATGGGTCTTTCCATCTCACAAACAGCCAAGCAAGACACATTCCAAGGAGACATTCCAGCCAGGACAATGCACTTGAGGAAGGCCTGTGAGAAGGGTGGGATGGGAAGAACAGGTGTGGTCTGTGAACAGTTCTGAGGGGCAAATAGAGAAGCCTGGAGGGTGCTGAGAGTTGTGAGGAGACCTCTATACTCCCCCCCGCCCAAGTCACAATTCACAGAGTGGGATATACAATCAATCCCTCTTCTCAGGGAGCTCTAGGAATTGTAGCTCTGAGAGGAGAACAGGGGTCTCCCAACATCTGTCAGCACCCTTATCAGACGACAGTAGGATTCTTTGAGGGAAGCCATGTTTGTTTAAAGTGGCATGATACTGCTTTAAATGCAGAATGCAGATGGGACTTCACCCTCTCCATTTCTACACACACACACAAACACACACAATGAGAGAGAGAGAGAGAGAGTCAGCATTCTGTGGCCACACTGAGCATGCTCAGTAAGTGCTTATTGAACTGTTTCCACACACACCACCCAGTTTCTCCCCTCCAAATATTTCCCCACAAGCCTGCAGATCCCCTCTCTTGGATGTTGGTGGTGCTGTTTTGGTTAGGGAAGGATGGACACTATCAGAATGAGTTTTGCATTAGTGACCTGCCAGCTGCTGTTGGACTCCACCTCCCATCAGCCCCGGCCAATGTGGCCAAAGGTCAGGGATGATGGGAGTTGTAGTCCCACAATGTCTGACCAGACATGGGTTTCCCACCCTGGTTTCTAGGAGCACAGGAAGCTGCCTTATATGGAGACGGATGCATTGTTCCATTTAGCACAGTATTGCCTAAACTGACTGGCAGCACCTCTCCAGGGTTTCAGGCAGGGTTCATTCCCAGCCCTACCTGGAGATGCCAGGACCTTCTGTATATGGAGAAGATGAGCTATGGCCGTTACCTGTCTGGGATGGATACAATGACCTGTCTAGAGGGTCACCTGTCTGTGTGAAAGGGGAAAGAGCTCTCAGCCCCAAGTGCAGAGCGGCAACAGCAGGAGAACGCAGTGGAATCTTCCAAATAGGTAGCTGTTTTGCATTCTCTCCACCAGTTTTCCAGTGAAAACAGGCATGTCTTATTCAACAACAACAGCAACAGCAACAACAACACCCATCTGACTGGGTTGCCCCAGCCACTCTGGGCAGCTTCCATCATATATAAAAACATAATAAAACATTAAACATTAAAAACTTCCCAATTCGGGGCTGCCTTCAAATGGCTCGGTTGGGGGGTGTGGGATAACTCCATACCCTCCAACATTTCTCCAATGAAAATAGGGACGTCCTAAGGAAAAGCAGGACATTCTGGGATCAAATAAGAAAACTGGGACAACTTCTGTAAATCCGGGACTGTCCCTGGAACATAGGGGCACTTGGAAGATCTGTGTTTGTTAAAGAAAGGTACGCTCGTGTTTGCACTAGTGGAAGTGCTCTGTGTACTTACTCATGTGCAACAGTATAATAAATGAAAGAAGCACGAAAGAAAACCAGGAGCGTAAACTGGAATGAGAGAGAGAGAGAGACCCCCGTTGCCCCCATCAATTAACACGAGCTTCCTAAGAACAGAAAGCCCTGGGCCCCTGATCATGCCCTCTTAAGACATCATCGCCCTAATCCATCCTGGCCTCTGACCTTTCCCATAATCCCTGCCTCCTCTTTGTACTACCACTTCCCTTAAAGTCTTCATCACATGGCACACACACCTCTAATCAGGGCACACACAAGGCTCTCGGATGGTATTCGTGATGTGTGTGTGTATGTATGTACACACAGAGCAAAGACACATGGGGAGAACAGGGCCAAAGGTTATTGCAAATGTCTTTCCTCTGGTCCATACTGAAATATTCCCAGGATCGGGACCTGTGCCACTCCGGTTCAAAGCCTCCCCAGTTTCCCCTCCCTCTTCTTCTCCTCCCCGCTTTCTCCCTCTCCCTCCCGCCCCTGCCTCTCTCCTCCCTTCCCGCACACCCGTTCTCATTCTACCAACGAGTACAAAGCAGAGTTCTGGATTATCTCCATTTCCATATGGGGAGCTGTGTAAGCCAGTTCAATGCATGGCCGGTCATTTTGTTCACAAGTTTGCGGCAAGCGGGAGCGAAATCCATGGGGAAATTAACCATTCATCTCTCTGCACCTTGTGTGTGCAGGCACAGATCAGTAAACACAGGCTCTGGGCTTTAAAAAAAAAAAAAAAAAATTAAGTGGGGGGGAACACCCCACTCTCCTTCGCTTTTTCCATCACCTCCACTCCTCTGCTCAAGCGTTTTGCATTTTGTGTGCACAAAAATCAACGCCGGCCTTTGCAAGCTCTGTTTTTTGGAAATCCATCTCTGCTATTTCCATCCCACCCCAACTGATTTCCAAGTTCCTGTTTCGTTGCTATCAGCCTTCCCCTTTGATGTGTGTTAGTTGCACATTTGTTACAGGCAGCGAGTGTGCAGCTGCAGCAAGCTCCACCTAGGCATCACGGCTAGGACAAGGCTCTCTGCAAACCTAATAATAATAATAATAATAATAATAATAATTTATTTATACCCTGCCGATCTGGCTGAGTTTCCCCAGCCACTCTGGGTGGCTTCCAACAAAAGATTAAAAATGCATTAAAACAGCAGTCATAAAAAAACTTCCTTAAACAGAGGTGCCTTCAGATGTCTTCTAAACGTCAGATAGTTATTTATTTCTTTGACATCTGATGAGAGGACATTCCACAGGGTGGGTGCCACTACCAAAAAGGCCCTCTGCCTAGCAGCAGAAGCTAAAGGAAGAGATGGAGCTCAAAAGCAGGGGTAGGGAGAGATCCCATTAACTACAAACCCCCAAAATGTGGGATCCTCTGCAAACGGATTCAAAGTTTTTGGGTTCGTAGTTAATGTTAAGTACAAACCCCATGTTTGATGTATCAGTTGCTCAGTTGCTGCAAAACATGCGGGTTTTCACTGCAAAACCAGTTTTGGGGTTCATAGTTAATGTTAAGTATGAACCGTGTGTTTGATGTATCAATTACTCCATTTGTGGGGTGCTGCAAAACGTGGGGTTTTCGCTGCAAAAAAACAAAAAGAAACCAGCAACAACTGCAAAACTTTGGCACGGGTTTGGAGCAGATTCCAAATTATAGGGTTCGGAGTGCCTGTAGCAAAACTCACTTTTCAGCCTGAAGGCTACCTTCCCCTCTGAGCAAGCTTTTGGGGGCCACATACCGGGGTATGCTACAAGACCTAGGCACCATAACCTGAGCTGCTGCCCTCAGGTGCAGTGGGGAACACAGTCTCCTCACCAGTGTAGACGTGAGATTCGACTACCAGTGTCCTAATGGACCTAGGCATCCAGGAAGCTACTATACATCAAAGATGGATCTATACACGGGGGGGGGGACATGCTATAAAAAAGTCAGAAATAAAATCATTATAACAACAACAAACAAAACAAAACACTATGTAAAAACGCTATAGAAAGGTTTTGTGCTCTCTGGCATCACATGGTGTTGCATGCTTGTAATGCATTCAGATCGCTGGGGGTTTTTTTAACTAATGTAGAAGAGTCCCAAGTCAGACTGCTGTGACCTGTAGTGGTGCTCGGGTTTATTTGTTTGTTTGTTTGTTTATTACATTTATACCCCACTTTTTTCATCCAAGAAGCTCAAGGTGGCATAGACTGTTCATCCCCATCTCCCCTTTTTTATTCTCCCAACAACCTTGCGAGGTAGGATAGGCTGAGAGTGTGACTGGCCCAAGGTCACCCAGGGAGCTTCCTGGCTGAGTGGACATTCAGACCTGGGTCTCCCTAGTCCTGGTCGAACACGCCAACCACTATGCCACAATGGCGTAGTTTCAGGATCTTTCCCCAGCCCTGTCTGGAGAACACCAGGGATTGAGCCAAGGGCCTTCTGCATGCCAGGCAGATGTCCTGCCACTGATCTATGGCCGTTCCTGCACTAACTTAGCCATGCTCATTGTTTTCAATGGGTCTGCTCTGAGTAGAAGATTCTCACTCTTCCTGAATTTGCAAAGGTGCATATAAACTAGCGCATGCAGATTGTATGCAAATCACTGCCCTCATTTGCCTTCTCCTCCTTTTTTTATTTTATTTTGGTGATGCATAACTGACCACCCTCTCCGCTGGCAGTGTTTGAAAATATTCTGTGAATGCAAGCCTGGCTGTCAAATGCTGAGAAAAGGAAGTGATTTAACAATTGCATAAGCACCCGAGGAATCTCAGAAGGAGGAGAGAGAGGGGGGGGCGGGATTCACGATTGGCTGGCAAGCTCCTATCAAGCCTTGCTGAAAACCAGGCAAATTAACATGGGGGACTCTACGCAGGAATGGCTGGCTGCCATTGTGTGGCCTATGCCGTGATCTTCACGGCTGCGCCTGGCCCCGAAAAATCTATGATAATCTAAGAAAATAACAGCTTGTCAATTATTTCCACGCTATCAGCCACAGGCTCCCAGTGGCCGGTCACTTCCAAATTGGCCTCCTTGGCTCCCGAGCGGCGAAGGCTGAACACATTCCATCAAATCCGTCCATTCACAATCAAACCCAGGCATTAGACTCTCAGCGACTGGGACGGCAGGAGAGCCGTGGAAAAGCCCAGGTTAGATTAGATTAGGAAAGAATCACGCAGAGACGGTTCCAAAGCACCGTGGATTTAGAGTACAAGGGCCTGGAGGCAGCCGCATCAGAGGCGTCACAGATACAGCTCCCCCGCCGAGATTTAACTATGGTGTGGAAAAAGAAAGCTTTTGTCCATATATTTGCATGGGACTTGTAGATCTGTTCCAGGGAAATGGTAAAAAAGAGAAAGAGAGAGAGAAAGCAGGGGGAATGAAGGAGCTGAGTTTTAGAAACAGGTCTGGGCCCCGTAATATCTATCTGCTGCTACATATTTTTAATAGAGAGGGAGAGAGAGAAAGGGAATATTGATCACTTGCACATTGTACCTGGTGGAATGAAGAAGTTTCTCCACGGATGCCTTCCTTTCTTGCCACTCCATCCTTCTATCCTGGCTGTGTTTTGCTTATTGGGTTTTTTCCCACCATCTCCCCACCCCCTCTAAGCTGCTATCCGTCCTCAACGTTGTGTTGGGGGAGGGATTCGGGGGGGGGGGGCAGTGTTTGGCCTGCGTTTCTCCCCACAATGGGGAGGAAAGGAATTTCAGGACGGGTGATTCAAATTGGAGAAGTGGCCGAGGGAGGGTTTCAACTAGGGCTGGGTAATATGGATAGATCATCCAAAACGGGTTCGAAATCCATATCGTAATATTGGTTTCATAATTTTTGACCTGGAAATATATCGCAAATCATGATGTGTGTTCGGGCTGGGCGATATATCGTCCCATACTGCCTTTATAAAGGAGGAGGGAGCTCTCAACCCCAGGAACCAAAGCAAATTTCTCTCCTGTTACTTCAGTTCAAGGGCATATTCCAGTCAGGCCAAAGCACGTGAGGGGGGGCATGGGACAGGGCCAGTGATAGGGGTGCTCTCAGGAGGACGTGTGGCCAAGGGAAAGTCCCAAGGACCAGAGACAGGTGTGTGGAGGGCTGCATTTTGCCCGTAAGCTTGAGCTTCCCCACCCGTATTTTAAAGAATAGCTGTTGGGGATGGGGCGGGGTTGGAATGTATGCATTCTCAAACAAGAGAGGACCATGTACACCAGGTAAGAGGCTCCCAGGAAACTGGGGATGCCCACAATCTCCCTCTAGTACCAGTTTCAACTTCCATAGGAAGACAATGCAGAGCTGCTGTAAATCAAATTCCCTTCTTGCCCAGTGCAGTGACGAAGGTACATTATATATAACAGGGATGCACAGAGTACATAGGAAGGGGTTGGTGGGGAACAGTTGACATGTGTGTATGTGTGTGTGTGCAAACGTGGGCAGTGGTTTTGTGGTGCCTTCTTCTTTTTTTTACTGCCGTAATTCTTTTATCTTGTTCTCACACCCATCGCTTTATGAGCATTCATCAAAATAATTGACATGGCTGAAATTAGCCCTCTGTGCTACATTGGGCAGATAAACTTTGCTGGATATTGATTGTGCACAAAGCAAATGACATGTGCTTGGTCCTCCTCGCGCTTTATCTGGAGGGAGCAGGGGGACGTGCGGGGAAGGCAGGCGAAAAGGGGGGGCGGGAGAGGGAGACTTCACTCGAGGAGCGGCCATAAGAATTATTTTTATCTCTCCTTCCACAATGGGAGATAAGTCTGAGAAGAAAATGGGGCGGGGGGAGAGAAGGGGAGGAGAAAAGAAGAAGAAGAAGAAGAAGAAGAAGAAGAAGAAGAAGAAGAAGAAGAAGAAGAAGAAGAAAATGCCCAGCGAAGATCTCAAGTGTTCCCGTAGATGTCTAGCTAAGCCAGAGGCGTTGTGACGTTCCTGAAAGGAAACGGGTCGGCCCAGGTTCCGAATGATGCTGGCGTCTGACAAGGTGGCGCTGGGGTTTCTTGTGCTGCTGCAGCAACACCGTGGCCAAGACCTGTTTAGCATCACGTCTCACGCTATGACGTTGACGTACATATAGGCCCTTAGCTCTCATTCTCCCTGGGAAAATGCTGCTCACGCACGGGATGGGTTGAAATTCTCAAAGCTGGAGAAGAAGCACAGAGCGCTGGTCCAAGGGTTTCAAGCAGCCTATGGCTCTGAGTGACGATTGGATTTACGTTTTGGAAGCCGCTTTGTAACAGCGTAGGAAGCTGCCTTATACAGAGCAAGGGTGCCAACTTGAATAAAATATTGGGGGGACGACAGATAAGCCCTGCCCCACGTAATCAATTTCATGATGCAGTGCACACACACCATTTAAATGGCAATGCCCATCAGCTTTGGAAGAGCCTGCCCTCCTCATATATTTTATTGAGGGGGCAAAGCCCCTAGGAGTTGGCTCCTATGATACAGTCTCAGACCCTTGGTCTGTCAAGCTCAGTACTGTCTACACGGGCTGGCAGCAGCTCTCCAGGATGTCAGAGAGGGTCTCTCCCAGGTCTCAAGGTCAGCGACTGAGTGGGGATTTGAACCCTAGTCTCACAGTTCTTACCTCAACTCCACACTAATGTTGTCACACACACATCCCAATAATGTGCTTGGCATCATCACGGTGTGTGTGGCGACATTTTCTAACCATGGCAGCCTCTCTGTAAAATTACCTCCTGTTTTTATTTCATTTCTTTTCTACAGCAGTAAGTGCCATGTGGCACGAATATCACAAATTGTGCGATGCAGTGGTTGCGATGTCACATTAAGACAGGGGAAACTGGGGGTTCAAATCCCCAATTGGTCGTGAAGCTCACTGGGTGACGATGAGCCAGTCACAATTTCTCACCCTAGCCTACCTAACAGGGTACAGTGGTACCTCGGGTTAAGTACTTAATTTGTTCCGGAGGTCCATTCTTAACCTGATACTGTTCTTAACCTGAAGCACCACTTTAGCTAATGGGGCCTCCTGCTGCTGCCGCACTGCCGGAGCACAATTTCTGTTCTCATCCTGAAGCAAAGTTCTTAACCCGAGGCACTATTTCTGGGTTAGCAGAGTCTGTAACCTGAAGCGTATGTATCCTGAAGCGTATGTAACCTGAGATACCACTGTAGTTGTTAGGAAAAATGGATGGTAGTGGGGCTGCCTCGAGGACTGAGCTCCTGGGGTGGGGGGAGAATGAAATATAGACATAACTTTATGTTAGCATTTTGAGTATACAGTGGTACCTCAGGTTACAGATGCTTCAGGTTACAGACGATTCGCTAACCCAGAAATAGTACCTTGGGTTAAGAACTTTGCTTCAGGATGAGAACAGAAATCGCATGGCGGCAGTGGGAGGCCCCATTAACTAAAGCGGTGCTTCAGGTCAAGAACAGTTTCAGGTTAAGAACGGACCTCCGGAACGAATTAAGTTCTTAACCAGAGGTACCACTGTATATTTCTCTCTCTCTCTCTCTCCTGGAACTTTGGGACTGCCCAGGGAATGACTGGGAGCCAGCACGTTTAGGAGAGACCAGACGAAGCACTGCAAATCTGCACTGTGCGGCACCACTGTAAACTGCCTTGAAGCTGTTTTGTGAAAGGTGGGTTAAAAACAACAGCTGACAATCAATCCCCAAGCATCAATTCCCCAACCAATAGAGATTCAGCAGGCACCTTCTGTGCCAGCTTTTAAATGTAACCCGAGGTACCACTGTACCTGTAGGGCTGGAAGTGACTGTCCCAAGCAGCATCTAGTCCAACCCCCTGCAATTCAGGAATCACTGAAGAATCAGCTCAAGAATCCCTGACAGATGGTCATCTATCCTCTCTCAGAAAACCTCAAATGAAGGAGAGTCCAACACCTTTCAATGGAGTGCGTTCCACAACTCCTGCTGTCAGAAAGTTCTTCCTAATGTGAAGTCAGTACCTCTTCTCTTGTACAGTGGTACCTCGGGTTACATACGCTTCAGGTTACAGACTCCGCTAACCCAGAAATAGTGCTTCAGGTTAAGAACTTTGCTTCAGGATGAGAACAGAAATCGTGCTCCGGCGGTGCAGCAGCAGGAGGCCCCATTAGCTAAAGTGGTGCTTCAGGTTAAGAACAGTTTCAGGTTAAGTACGGACCTCCGGAACAAATTAAGTACTTAACCCAAGGAACCACTGTAATTTGAATCCATTGGTTTGGGTCCTACTCTCTGGAGCAGCAGAAAACACGCTTGCTCCATCTTCCATCAGATATTTGAAAGTGGACATCTTATCACCACTCAGTCTTCTCTTTTCCAGGCTACACATACCCAACTACCTCAACCGTTCCTCATAAGGCATGGTTTCTAGACCCTTGATCAGCTTGATATGTATGTATGTATGTATGTATGTATGTATGTATGTATTTGAACCTTTTCCCAGGCTGGAAGGCTGGTTCTGCCTCCTTCCGCCAGTGGGCTGGGCTCCTCCCTTTGGCCTGAAAACCTTCCTTCCCAT